TTTGGCCAGAAAAGGAATGAAATTCTGCCACATGCCACAGCCTGAAAGGACCTTGAAAGCATGCTAAGTGAAATAAGCCAGATATGAAAGGACATAATGGGCAAAGAACAAAAAGAACAGTGGTTCCCAGCGGTTGGGGGGTAGGGGATGGGGGGAGAGGGAACGGGGAGTTATTGTTTAATGGGTACAGAGTTTTAGTTTGGGACGATGAAAAAGTTCTGGAGATGCACAGTGGTGACGGTTGCACAACAATGTGAAGGTACTTAATGCCACTTAATTGTACATTTGAAAATGGTTAAAATGGTTAATTTTACGTTAAGCATATTTTACCACAATTTTGTAAAATGTTAAAAAAAAAAAAAAACAAAGATAGCGAGAGATATCTTAACTGTCTACCACACCTACACTTTTGGTATGAAGGTCACAACTGCTGCTCAATCTGTTTATGAAGGAAGGGTGACAAAAAAAATACAGACGTTACGAGACTATCGGCATCTCCAGAGCAAAACAGTTCTCCTACCATCGACCCTGTGTTTCCAGCCATTTCTTTGAGTCTTCAAACATATTTCATATCTCCTGGTAAGGAACATATTCAATTCAACAAGTCACAACTTACTTTGTGATACATACTTGTTGAAATTTCATGTCTTGGGAGGCAGAAGAGAAAAATAAAAGTTATTGTGATGCTGAGCTTTATTTTGAGTGACAAGGAGAATTCGTTAAAGAATTGGAAAAGAAAAAAAAAAAAACTAAAATTAAGTGACTCCTACTACGGTAAAGAAACTTCCACACAGATTTTCTCATTTAATATCGTAACAGTTCTGGAATGTTTTTCCTCTTTGTCCCTGAGGCAACTGAGAGTCAAAGAGGTTAAGGAAACTTCACACAGCTAGCAAGCAATGTAGTAAAAACGAACTCAAGACTGTCTGAAAAAAAACCTATTAAAAAAACTATAAAAAAAAAACTTTCCGGGGGCGCCTGGGTGGCTCAGTCGGTAAGCGCCCAACTTCAGCTCAGGTCATGATCTCACGGTTCGTGAGTTCTAGCCTCACATCGGGCTCTGTGCTGACAGCTCGGAGCCTGGAGCCTGCTTCGGATTCTGTGTCTCCCTCTCTCTCTGCTCCTCCCCCACTCACACTCTGTCTCTCTCTCAAAAATAAATAAACATTAAAAAAAATTTTTTTTAAACTTTCTGTTACCTGATTCTACTTTAAAATAGGAGGGAGAGTGCCCATGATATCATAGTGTTTGTACCGCAGTATCCAAAGAAGGAAATCTTGAGAATATTTAGATGCAAACCCTAAACATAAGAGAAGCTAGTATTAAAAGTTCGGGAGGAAGACAGACAATCTCAAAGTCACAAACCCTGAGAGGGCAGATGGTTAAAGCTGAATGAGAGGTTGTTAAAAGAATAGAGTCTGATGATATAATCCCAAATGATGGTAATGAGGGAGAAAGGTATTACAGGGTGAGGGGCGTCAGGATAGATTTAAAGAAACCAAAGTATTCCCACCGGGTACTCTCTAGTCAAAATATATTTTAAAATAACACACCAACAACCATAAGAAACAAATGCTAACATCCTAAAAACGGAGCCTAGTGAAAAAAAATCAAGAATTTGGATGTATCTAAAGATCTAAAGAGCAATTCAAAGAGCAAGAAAAAGAACAAAGAGGAAGGGGCGCCTGGGTGGCGCAGTCGGTTAAGCTTCCGACTTCAGCCAGGTCACGATCTCGCGGTCCGTGAGTTCGAGCCCCGCGTCGGGCTCTGGGCTGATGGCTCAGAGCCTGGAGCCTGTTTCCGATTCTGTGTCTCCCTCTCTCTCTGCCCCTCCCCCGTTCATGCTCTGTCTCTCTCTGTCCCAAAAATAAATAAATAAATAAAAAAAAGTTGAAAAAAAAAGAAAAAAAAAAAAGAACAAAGAGGAAGTGTCATAATGTAAACGGAAAACCGAATTAACAGAGCAATTCCATTTCCATTTTGTTATTACTTTCTCAAAAATAAAATGTTTAAGTGCAAGATAGAAAAAAGAGATAATAAGTGAGCATCTCACTACTTTAAATATATTTAAGGGGCCCCTGGGTGGCTCAGTTGGTTAAGTGGCCGACTTCAGCTCAGGTCATGCATGATTCACGGGTCATGAGTTCAAGCCCTGCATTGGGCTCTCTGCTATCAGCCCAGGGCCCGCTTCAGATCTTCTGTCCGCCCCCCCCCCACCTCTGCCCCTCCCCTGCTTATGCTCACTCTCTCTCTCTCTCAAAAACAAACATTAAAAATGTTTCAAATAAAAAAATAATAAAAATTTAAAAAATATATTTCAATCCTAAGAGTCATGTATTGTACGTTCTGGATTTCAAATTCAAATACTTTTCTGAATGTGAATAGAAAAGGCACAGAATGGGGCACCTGGGTGGCTCAGTTGGTTAAACATCTGACTTCGACTCAGATCGTGATCGCACGGTTTGTGGGTTGGAGCCCCGCGTCCAGCTCTGTGCTGACAGCTCAGAGCCTGGAGCCTGTTTCAGATTCTGTGTCTCCCTCTCTCTCTCTCTGCCCCTCCCCTGCTCCTGCTCTCTCTCTCTCAAAACTAAATAAACATTTTAAAAAAAAAAGAAAGAAAAAGAAAAGGCACAGAAGACAATTAATAGGAAGAGTCATCTCATTCTTCACACACAGGATGGATCCGAAAGCCATCCAATACGATAATCCCATAAGTGACTTCAAAAGGTTGGCTGACGTGGAGGTTAAAATCCGACTCTGAAAAAAACGGTGTAGGTCTGCCAGATTTGTAGCCTTCTACTTGTTCACTAACTGTTATTCATCAAGTACGCACTCATCAGTAAATGGAGATGTTGAACTTGACCTCGTAGGATGGGCTATGAAGCTTGAGAATAATATACACAAAATATCTGGCACTTGGCAAAGCCTCAGTATATGTTAGTTTCTTCTTCTTCTTCTTCTTCTTATTATTATTATTATTATTATTATTCACTTTGCTGTAACTGATCTAAGACAGAAGGGCAAGCCAGATTCTGGTTCTATAGAATCTGACAACAGCTGGGGCCAAGAAAAAGAGACCCGAGAATCAAGCAAGGTTCCACAGGAATGTCAGAAGCGAAACTTCCCGGTGATTGCTACTAAATCTGCTAGGGGCCTTCTACCCTCTCTAGCGCGGACCTGAAACAAGGGGCCTTAAGAGAAAATAAGCCAGTTTTGGAAAGGTAGCCCATCTAACTCTGCTCAGCTCACTCAACAGCAGAGGCAGGATTCAAGGAAAGTAAAGACAGACAAAAATCCCTCTCATACCCCCTCTATTCCTTCGGGGGAGCACAGAGAAATAGAAATATCCCGAAGCCCCAGATATTCCGTGCCTTCGCCCTTTTCCTCCTCGGCTCGCATTACCACAGTGTCTCGTTTATAATAGCTGCCATATCACACTTCTCGGTGGCAGGGTCTCGCATTATGACTCACTACTCTATTTACCAGTCTCTGCCCTGCAATGTTGCAAGCTCTCTGCTCACTTCTGCTATTGACTTTAGTCAGCTCGAGTCCTCCGCTGCAGCTATATCACGGTGAGAACAGCGGTTGCTGCAAGAGGCCCAGAAAGCAAGGCTATTATTATCAGATGCCATAAAATCTCCTGTATCTCACGAATAGACCCCGGTGCATTCTGCCACGTGGTTTGGCAAAGGCATACAAGAAAGGGAAGTCACAGAGCGGGACTGATTTGGAGTTAGAGTCCACGCAGAATTTCAGAGGAATGACAGCATTCCTCACTTGACGGAAAACAAGGAATCTAGATGCTTCCGTCTTTTCTCAAAATAGGAAAGTAGAAAAATGTAGGGACTATATGTTCTCTTCAACAGCGTCAGAATGATTACCTCCCTGAATTTCCCTAAAGAATGTTTTCGTTTTTGTTTTTTAACTTGAAGTATAGTTGACACCCGATGTGACATTAGCTTCAGATGTACAGCACGGTGATCGGACAGCTCTACGTGGTACGTGATGCTACCAAAGTAGTTAGCGTGTGTCACCACACAACGTTATTTCCACAGGTATAGCTCAATTCTGAACAAACTGTTCTCTGGGACTTGATTCTACCCAAAAGAGAATACGTAAAACGATTACCACCACACAAAACTCAGGGGCGCTGGGGTGGCTCAGTCGGTTAAGCACCCGACTTCGGCCCAGGTCACGACCTCGTGGTACGTGGGTTCGAGTCCTGCGTCAGGCTTTCAAGTTACCTCAGGATGTCAACTCCCTCTATTACCTGGAGCTGCTCTAGGATTAACAATGAGCTCTCCTCCCGGAGACTCCTGGGTGGACAGAAAGGATCTGAGAGTCCAGTAGGAAGTGGAGGTTAGCCCAGCTTAGCCCTGCAAGGAGGTTAAGATCCCCGCCCCACCCCCCTCTCCTTTCTTCTTTCCCAGCTTTCTGGAACTGCTTCCTCCCCAAGCCCTCCCCGTCATTCCCAACCGTCTCCTAGCCTGGAACTTACTGGATTCCGATGAATGAAGGGAAATTCATGAAAAAGGCATGTAAGCCCTTGCCACTGTCTCTTTGTCCCCCATCATCTCTCTCCCCCACTCCCTTCGAAATTCCACCAGCTCCTGCATAGGACTCTGATGCCTCCTGGGTGCTGGACCCATCTGTTTCTGGATCTAATGCGTTCTTTTCCTTCGACCTGTATTTCAGGCCTAATTCCTGTCTGTAATACTCACCATCCTTCCTCCTCCAACACACACACCTGAGTCTGCAAACATCTAGGCGTCCACACCTGAGGGTTGCTGGGTCAGGGAGAGAAAGGGTAAGGAATACGAAGGAAAAGGAGGGAGGCAGGGGGAGAGGAGGAGGAAGGAAGGAATAGAAAGAGGAGAGGGCAGGAGAGAGAAAGAGAAGAATGGTCCTTCTGTTCCTCAAAAGAGGAGACATGATACACTGGAGCAGCACTCATCGACAACAACAAAAAAACCCTACATTTGCTAAGTGTTTTCATTTACCATTTCCTGGTTGCCTGTAAGCATAAGGAGATGGGAGTCTTCAGCTAAGCAGAAGTCCAGACTAGAATCCCAGTTGTTTTTCTCCACTGAGAAGTAGTAACAGTGGTCGCCATACCTCACCCAGAAGTCTGGGCAACTAGGACAACTGGCATGAGTGGAACCTGGAAAGGAAGAGGACCTGGTTCACATCTTTATAGACCACTTGGCCCCGGGGATGACATGGGAGATAAATAGAATATGGCGGCCCCACTGTCTTCCCTGCCCCACCGTCTTTCAGACTAAGGTTTAGAGAAACACATGCCTCACATGCATGGCCTCAAACTACAAACCTCGCAATGCCCAACTCCATCACTACTCCTGTCCGTTCCACGACAGAGGCATGGGACTATGGCTAAAGAAGCAGGTAGGGAAACACATACAACCTGGCTGAGGACCGTGGACAGAGTACCTTACTTGCGCTAGAGGTCTTTATGCCCTCATGCCATACACACACCGTATAAAATAACGATGCATCCACATTATCTGTACCAGTGCCTGTCTACGTAGGTTCAGTGCACACATGGTGTAGCTGCATAATATACATGGCTGAAATCAGGCAGAATCTTCCAGAATGCCCAACCTCAACCTGATACCCCAGGTTGAGTCAAAAGAAAAGGACAGAAGCTAGAAAAGGCAAGCTTACCTAGAGTGAAAGATAGAGGTTTTCTCTTTTAGCACCAACGCAAATATTTGGCACAAATCTCCAGTGATCTATCGTCACTGGATATCAGACAAAAGACTTCTACTTCAGCAAAATAATTTATCAAAAAAAATGTTTCCAACAGAGATGGATATCAAGATGCGAAAGTGAAAAGTGAACGCAATTCTCTTCACAGGACTCTTAAAAATTGTTTTGACTTTTTTAATGTGTATTTATTCTTGAGAGAGAGCAGGGGAGGGACAGAGAGAGAGGGAGACACAGAAGCTGAAGCAGGCTCCGGGCTCTGTGTTCGAACCATGAGATCACGACCTGAGCCGAAGTCAGATGCTTAACCAGACTGAGCGACCCAGGCGCCCCTCACAGGACTCTTTTTTTTTTTTTCTTTTTAATTTTTTTTTTCAACATTTATTTATTTTTGGGACAGAGAGAGACAGAGCATGAACGGGGGAGGGGCAGAGAGAGAGGGAGACACAGAATCGGAAACAGGCTCCAGGCTCCGAGCCATCAGCCCAGAGCCTGACGCGGGGCTCGAACTCCCGGACCGCGAGATCGTGACCTGGCTGAAGTCGGACGCTTAACCGACTGCGCCACCCAGGCGCCCCTCACAGGACTCTTTTAAATACAGAACACTCTCACCCCTTTAAAATGGTTCGATTACATTTTAACCATTTAACCATTTAACCATTTAACCCTGTGAAAATGAAAGGGAACTGAGCAAGCTTTCAAGGTAATTTCAGCCAAGATTCCATAATTCTATGGATTTTCTACTTCCACGTAAGGCATTTGTATAAACTCTGCAGAGGCACAATTCCACAGTAGGCAAGTATGAGCCATTATGTCAAATGAGCACATGTGTGGATATATAATTGCTTAGTAGGTTACATATCTAGTGTAGATTTGGGGAGTTAAAAGTAGGGAAGGCAATACTTTTCAATGTCAGCATTAGACAACTTTTCTGTGGCTTAGCATGGGACCCATATAGGGTTCTGGGGATCAAGCTATAGATCCCCAGCACCTTATAGATTTGTGCTTTTTCTGCACAACTGTGGCATTTCCCAGCCTGAATGAGAAAATTCCCAACTTCCCTTGGAGTCTCTTTCTGTCAAAAGACTTGGGTCTGAGGTAGGGGTCCTAGGGATGAACTCTTAGAGTCCTAATGAATAAAGTCTGTATATAACAATCGTCTGTCACTAACGATCATCTCGATAACATAACCTAAGTCAAAACCCTGCACTGTGAAACAGTAAACCCAGGGCTTTCTGGATCAGCACAGTTAATGACCTAGAAGAATTAAATCTAGAAAATTCCATTTTAGAAAATGTGAAAGCACTCTAATTGGAAAAAAAAAATCAGAATATATTTAATTAAATTTTGATGGATATATTATGTCAAAAGTCAAGCACAATTAATACAAAATTAATACCCAAATGATATAATTATGATTTGATTCTCATAAATATGGCAGTAGGTAGGAAAGTGTTTATGATATAATATAAAATTAAGAAAGCAATATACGAAATTACAAGCATATAACGATCAGAACTACACCCAGACCTACTTTAAAAAAAGAAAAAAGGTGGGGAAGATTTTAGAGGACTTGACAGAAGTTCTGTTAAAAGAATAAACATTTACATAAATGCTTGTAGTCAAAGACTAGGGGACTGTACCCAGGAAATGTTGTTTATACAAGTGGTGATTTATTTTGTTGGCATTACTTTGCATTTTTCAAAATTTCCGCTATGTTATGTTGCTTTTATAACACAAAATAAGTCAAATAGGGGGACCTGGCTGGTTCAACTTGAAGAGCACGGAGACCCCTGACGTCAGGGTCGTTGAGTTCAAGCCCCGTGTCGAGTGTAGCAATAACTTAAATCAATAAACTTTTTAAGCAGTAGGTAAAATAAAAGATGTTCACTTAAAGTTAGTACTCACCTTGGCACAGAATCCACGGGACAATCAGCAAACACATAAGAAGGGCGTTCAGAAGTCCCAAAGCTATCGCCACACGGCGCGAGAGAGGGGACCTGGGAGAAGACACTGCAAGCACAGAACCCAAAACAAAATCCTGAGTTACAATAAAGGTTGAAGGAAAAGGCCAAGGAAGGATATCTGAAGTCTTGAACAAATCTGGCCTAGTTTCTTTGCTGGATATCAGGGACTTGCTCTAAAGTCTAGAGTAACAACCCACATCTTTATCAAACAACATACTACATTTGTTAAGTTAAGAATGCTTTCTTCTTGGGGTGCCTGGGTGGCTCAGTCGGTTAAGCATCCAACTTCCGCCAAGGTCATGATCTTACAGTCTGAGTTCAAGCCCCGCATCAGGCTCTGTGCTGACAGCTCAGAGCCTGGAGCCTGCTTAGGATTCTGTCTCCCTCTCTCTCCATCCCTCCCCTGTTCGTGCTCTCTGTCTCTGTCTCTCTCTGTCTCTCTCTCTCAAAATGAATAAACATTAAAAAAAAAAAAAAAGAATACTTTCTTCTTGGGCACCTGGGTGGCTCAGTTGGTTGAGCGTCCAACTCTTGATTTCAGCTCAGGTCACGATCTCACCGTTCTTGGGTTCAAGCCCCCAGTTGGGCTCTGTGCTGACAGCAAAGAGCCTACATAGGATTCTCTCTCTCTCCCTCTCTCTCTCTCTCTGCCCCTCCCCTCTCTTCTCTCTCAGAATAAATAACTAAACTTTAAAAAAAGAATATTTTTTTCTTTCGAAATTGTGGCTTACATAGTCTCATGCTTTAGCAGTGAAAATATTAATTGGTACAACCACTTTGAAGGGCAACTTGGCAATGTCTACAAAAATTGCAAAGGCATTTATCCTTTGGTCCAGCAAATTCTCTCGGAGGATATTTTCCCACAGATCCTCACCCATGTGCAAAATGTCGTATTTATAAGGCAGTTCATGGCAATAGTATTTGCAGAAGAAAACAACTAAATTCAATCTAAAGGGCTACCAATAAAAGACCGGTCAAATACATTTTCTTTTTTAAAATTTTTTTTTTCAACTTTTATTTATTTTTAGGACAGAGAGAGACAGAGCATGAACGGGGGAGGGGCAGAGAGAGAGGGAGACACAGAATCAGAAACAGGCTCCAGGCTCTGAGCCATCAGCCCAGAGCCCGACGTGGGGCTCGAACCCACGGACCGCGAGATCGTGACCTGGCTGAAGTCGGATGCTTAACCGACTGCGCCACCCAGGCGCCCCTACATTTTCTTTTTTAAAATACATTTTGATATATCCATAAAACGAATATTCTAAAAAAGGAATAAAGACATGCTTTGTTTACAGGTACGGAGTGATTTTCAAGATATATAGGTAAGGGAAAGAAATATTTGACAGAACAACGTATGCTCATATTTCTGAAAGTACACACAAGAATCTGATAACGTTGTCTGTCTCTAGGGAGGGGAATTAGGTCGCTGAGGATAGAAATAGGAGGGAGGCGTTTTTACCTTGTTTTCTTTTGCACCTTCTGAACTTGGAACCATGTGGGGTATTACCCAGTCAAAATTTACTTATTTATTTATTTTTAATTTTTTTTTCAACGTTTATTTATTTTTGGGACAGAGAGAGACAGAGCATGAACGGGGGAGGGGCAGAGAGAGAGGGAGACACAGAACTGGAAACAAGCTCCAGGCTCTGAGCCATCAGCCCAGAGCCCGACGCGGGGCTCGAACTCACGGACCGCGAGATCGTGACCTGGCTGAAGTCGGACGCTTAACCAACTGCGCCACCCAGGCGCCCCTACCCAGTCAAAATTTAAGTAGCTACAATTTAAATGAAAATAAAATAAAGTACATCTCAGAAGTGCTTTGTAAACTGTCGTTTCTGAGAGAACAATGGGTTGTGCTCGCTTCAGCAGCACGTATACTGAAAGAACAATGAGTTTAGGTTGATATGTTTAAGAACAGTGCACCACTCCATATTAACTAGGTTACATATAACCTATGTCTAGGAATGGTACTTTCCTCCCTTTGGAAAATGCAAATTTTTCTTAACCCAGACTTTTATCTCAAAATCGCAGCGGTTTCCTAGTCTGACAGTGTATGGGTTAGTGTAAAGAACAAAAATGTCTCAAGTTAGGAATTTAAGTGCTATGTTTGATCCCTTTATTTGGTCGTCTTTAAACTTGGAAATTTGGAAATTAACTCTACTTGGGGTCTCACTTTACCACTTAAATTTTAGACAAATTATCCTGTAGATGTGTGTATATCCATGAAGCATTCCGAACTTCTTAAAAGAAAGAAATTCATGGTGAGAGATATCTTTAAAATGAGAGGGTTCAGGGGTACCTGGGTGGCTCGGTCGGTTAAGCACCCGACTCTCGATTTTGGCTCAGGTCACGATCTCACAGTTTGTGAGTTTGAGCCCCGCATCAGGTTCTGCGCCGACAGTGTGGAGCCTGCTTGGGATTCTCTCTTTCTCCCTCTCTCTCTCCACCCCTTTTCTGCTCTCTCTCGCTCTCAAAATAAATAAATAAATAAATAAATAGCAAAAAAAAAAAAAAAGAAAAGAAATTTAAATAAACAAATAAAAATGAAATGAGAGAGTTCTGCATGATAAATATTTGGACGGACACACCCAAAAACACGAAAAAATACACTTGCACTATAGTAAAATACTTAATAAAATAAATGTTGATTTTAGATGTTATGCAAAATGAAAAATGGTATCAAAACACGGTTGTATTTGTGTAACCACAACCCAGTTCAAGAAATTAAGCGGAATTTAAAATGTGTTTTAATTTACTTTAAAAACATACATATTAAAAGCCTCTTAGTAGAGGACATAGAGTAGGCTCAGTATAGACAGGCAAAAATAGATCAAAATAGTAATCGTAACTATCGCCATGATGTGAAATTATTAGTGATGATTTTTATTTTCTATAATAAACATGTAAAATTTTGTACAGAGATTTTTAACGTCATTTGAAAGCTCCTAATCTATTATCCTATGGCCAAGGAGAGCACCCTGGAAAGCTAGGGTGGTAAGCAACACAGTGGCAGTAAATAAGAATGTGCAATATGTACTGTATATGAATAAAAAACCACTTGCCTAGAAATCAAGATAATTATATTCAGGTTTCAGCTTACCACTGTGTGACCTTGCACTCACACGTTAGTATATACATTCCTTTGCCTTAACATTTCTATTCCTTAGAAATCGGTACACATATAATCCAGAAGACAGAATTATATATACAAATGTAAAGGTTCAATGCCATATAATTTATAGTATGAGAAATAAACCTAAATGTCCAAGTATACTAGAATCGTTTAGCAAATTACAGCAATGCTTTCAAAGAACCACACTAAAAATTGTAATAATAAGAGAGAAAGTTTACTAAGCTCTGCTAAAAAACCTACTTTGTGGGAATTTATTGCCTAAGATATAAAGTCAAATACTAATTTTGGCTCTTACACTATTATCTGCCTGTCTCAGCGCAGGGCTCCACGTAAAAATGTCTTTTTCATCCTCAAGTCCCCAAAGAGTCACTGAATATTTATCGGTAGTATTCTCGATACCTTTTTCCTACCCCTGTCACCACTCGGGTGCAATACTGGGGGGGATGGGGATCTAGACATGTGAGTCAGTTTCTTTCCTAACAAACTCTTACTGCTATCCATTAGCAACATTATTGGTGTCTTTCTCTTGATTTCGTAGTCAGGAAACAAAATAGAGATGCTTAGAATTTAAACAGCTGGTCCAAGATTACTCCAAACATTACTAAAGAGATAAACTTCTCCCAAAGAAGTCCTTGCTTTAGTTCAGGAGCAATAAAGAGTAACAGAATTGCCTTAGCTTGGGTTTCACAGATGTTTCACAAAAGTGAACAGTTGGGGAAAAAAAAAAAATGTACCTGAGACCTAGCTAAGATCAGATCCTTGACCATAGAGCAGATTTTCATATTTCAAGTCTGCACTTCCAACTGAACCAAAAGTACCCTTCAAATTGCCCTCGATTTTTCTGCATCCTCAACTCTAAACCTACTCTGCATCCCATTCATTCCTTAGTCTAAGGTCACTTCCATGGTTTTGCACACTAACTTGATTAACTCACCTTTTTCCTGTGGTCTGTAGTCATTCTGGGCTGGAGGTTCAGTAGACAACTGTAATACAGAATAAACATCATTGTCAATCATCTTTATCTAATGTCATTCACATTCAGCTGAGAGAGTAAAATTATACACTTGATCTTGGCCAAAAGGCTGAGAAGCGATCGAGAGAGTACAATTATAGAAGTATGAAGAGGCACATGTCAATAAGGAAACAGCCCAATGTCTTAACTGCTAGCAGGAAATTTGGAGGTTTTCAAGTTGTTTTTTTTTTTTTTTTTTTAAAAAAAAAAAAAAAAGTTCAACATTAAAAAAACCCAATTAAATTTTTAAGAATATTTTAAAAAATTGGGTTTCGTCAAAAAATTTAATTTTTAAAAACTTGGTTTTTCTTTTTTTTTTTTTTTTTTTTTGTCTTACCATACGCTCTAGATACTCATTAAATACATATTAAATTGATTCCCATCTCACATAATTCTACAACAAGGAAAAGTTGCTCTGAAGTCCAGCAATTTCAGTGATGGAAACAAATGAAAACAAGAGCGGTTCTTAGGTACAGATGTTGTATTTGCTTTATTTCCTTTTGAGAAAATGGATGCATGCCAAATGGGACCAATTTCATTGTTTCTTGGAGTCTTTGGTTAGTGACATATGACAAGAGAAATGGACTGCTGGGTGTATGTGCCTGGCATCATGGGGAAAATGAACTACTTCCCAGATACATGTTTTGTGAAAATGCTGTACCCACCCCCCACGTGCCCCCAAACATCTTCCCACTTGTGCTTCAGTCTTTACGCGTCACAGGGTCAGAAATTACATTAAATTTTCTCTCCTTGTTCTCGTATTTTTATATTCAACAACAACTACAAAGGGGGAATGAATTACATAAATATATACTAAAGTGTGAATAACGTGTTTCTAATGGGTGAAACGTTAATAAAAAGTCAAAGTAGGGAAAACAGAAATGGAATTGAAACTCTACGTAAGAGTATGCCAAAACATAACGTATACAGAGAGAAGAAAGAGAAGAGAAGCAGGGAGAGGATATTAATAAAAACTGGTATAGCTGTGGGGCACCTGGCTAGCTCGGTTGGTAGAGCATGTGATTCATGATCTCGGGGTCATGAGTTTGAGCCCCACGTTGAGCACAGAGATTACTTTAAAAAAGAAAAACGGGGCGCCTGGGTGGCTCAGTCGGTTAAGCGTCCAACTTCAGCTCAGGTCATGATCTCGGGGTCCGTGAGTTCGAGCCCCGCGTTGGGCTCTGTGCTGACCGCTCAGAGCCTGGAGCCTGTTTTGGATTCTGTGTCTCCCTCTCTCTCTGACCCTCTCCCATTCATGCTCTGTCTCTCTCTGTCTCAAAAATAAATAAACGTTTAAAAAAATTTAAAAAAAAAAAAAGAAAAACTTTAAAAATCTAAAAAAAAAACACAAAAACTAACATAGCTCTGCTTCCCACAAGGGTAAGACTGGACTTGCTCTTCAGCCAAAAAACTATATATAACAAACTACACGAGGCAACTGTTTTCAGGCACAGGAGTACGGGCAGCACCGCGATCCCGGAGAGAACAGAATATACAAAGGCGAGCACTGGGGCCACCGGCATTCTACCCAGGGCCACCTTCCGGCACAAAGCAGGACAACGAATTCTAAACAGAGCAGCAGTTTAAGTGGAGGAGGCAGAGAGGCACAGTTTTGAGCTGTGTGTGTGGCTGGGGCGTGCAGGGCAGGGTAACTGGCAAGAGAGGGCTACAGAGCGAGGTGCCCCAAAAACCACATGGGAATTCACCATGGTCAAGGTGGGCCGCACAAACAGAGGACGAGACCCTGCAAGCCGCTGCTGAGGGGCGGTGTGGTGCTGACCAGAATCAAAAAGATCTACCAGTAATTTAGCTGCCTGTGAGAGCAAATTCGGACGCCCTGACATAGGGGGTCTATACATAAAATGGGATATAATTCAATCATAAAAAGGAAGCAGACCCTATCACACTCTACAGCATGGATGGACCTCGAAGACATTATGATGAGTGAAATATGCCCATCACACACACACACACACACACACACACACACACACACACACACAAAAGACAAATACTCTATGATTTTACTTATATGAGGTCTCTACAGTAGTCAATTCATCGAAACAGAAAATAGAATGGTGATGGCTGGAGTGACTGGGGGAAGGAGAAGTGGGGGACTGTTTAATGGTTCTAGAGTTTCAGTGCTGCAAGATGAAAAACGTCTGGAGATCTGTCGTACAACAGTGTGAACAGGCTTGCGTTAGTCTGCCTAGGCTCTCATAACAAAAGACGCCAGACGGCGTAGCTTAAACGACAGAAATTTATTTGCTCACAGTTCCGGACACAGGAAGTCCAAGATTATGGTGCCTGCAGAGTTGGTGAGAACTCCCCCCCGGGGGGGGGGGGGGGGGCAGCAGTGTCCTTCCTACCCTGGTCTCACATGGCCTTTCCTCAGTGCATGTGTGCAAGAGAGCTAGCAGGTAACCTTTCTGATGGCTCTTCTCATAAGGATGCCAATTCTCTCGGATCAGGGCCCCACCATGATGACCACATTTCACTTTAATTACTTCCTTAAAGACCCCATCACGAAAGAAAGAATAAAGCCACGCTGGAGATTAAGGTTTCAGCATAGGACTCTGGGGGGTGGAAGGGGACACAAATACTAAGTCCGTAACAATGAACATTTTGACACTCCTGAACCGCACCCTTAAAAATGGTTAAGATGCTTGGGGCGCCTGGGTGGCTCAGTCGGTTAAGCGTCCGACTTCGGCTCAGGTCACGATCTCACAATCCGTGGGTTCGAGCCCCGCGTCGGGCTCTGTGCTGACAGCTCAGAGCCTGGAGCCCATTTCAGATTCTGTGTCTCCCTCTTTCTCTGACCCTCCCTGTTCATGCTCTCTCTCTCTGTGTCTCACAAATAAATAAATGTTAAAAAAAAATTTTTTTTTTAAAAAATGGTTAAGATGGTTGAAGACGAAGAAGAAAGAGGAGGAGAAGGTGGCCGTGGCAGCAACATAAGAACAGGGCTTCTTGAGGAAATGACTCATTCTAGGGTCAGGGCACAGAAAATCCAAGATAAGCCTGGAGCATCTTTTAGTGCTAGAAAAGGAGGAGGTACTCAAAAACTAAAACCAAAAAAAAAAAAAAAAAAAAAAAAAAAGGCAAGATGAGGTCATGTCAGAAGGACACGGGAACCAACCTGACAATGCTCCCGATGGCCAAAAATGAAACAATTAGGGCAAGAAAACGAATAAACCGTATGGGATTATAACTCAGAGAAAGAAAACACAGCTATGAATTCATACTCACGGATTTTTAATCTGCATGTATCTTTAATTAAAATTGTATATACTTAAAGCATATATATGTGGAACTTTTGATATAAACATTGTGAAATGATTGCCGCAAACGAATTTACACATCCAACACTTCCAATAGTTACCATTCGTGTGGGAGGGCGGGGGGTGGTGAGAACACTTGAAATCTACTCTCTCAGCAAATTTCAAGTATACATTTTTTTATTTCATTTCATTTTATTACTTTTTGTAAGTAGGCTCCACACTGTACATGGGGCTTGAACTCACGACCCCCAGATCAAGAGTCACATGCTCTGCTGACTGAGCCAGCCAGGCATCCCCCGAGTATATGTTTTTATTTTTTTTTAATAATTTTTTTCATGTTTATTTTTTTATTTTGAGAGAGAGACACACAGCAAGAGCAGGGGAGGGGCAAACAGGGAGGGAGAGAGAATTCCAAGCAGGCTCCCTACTGCCAGCACAGAGCCCAGTGCGGGGCTAGAACCCACGAACTGTGAGATCATGTTCTGAGTCAAAATTAGGAGCCAGACGCTTACCTGACTGAGCCACCCAGGCACCCCTATGTTATTTTCTTAATAGCTTATATTTTTTTAATTTTTAAAGTTTTTTAATGTTTATTTATTTTTGAGAGACAGAGAAACAGAGGGGGAGGGGCAGAGAGAGAGGGAGACACAGAATCTGATCCAGGCTCCAGGTTCCGAGCAGTCAGCAGAGAGCCTGACTTGGGGCTCGAACTCACAGACTGTAAGATCGTGACCTGAGCTGAAGTTGGACACATAACCGACTGAGCCACCCAGGTGTCCCTGTTTTTTTAATTTTTTTTAATGTTTATTTACTTATTTTGAGAAGGAGAGGGAGAGAAGGAGGGGCAGAGAAAGAGGGAAAAAGAATCCAAAGCAGGCTCCTCACCGTCAGCTCGAAGCCAGATGAAGGTCTCCATCTCACAGTTCGTGAGGTCATGGCCTGAGCGGAAATTATAGGAGTCAGAGGCTTAACCAACTGAACCGCCCAGGTGCCCCTTTAATAGCTTTATTGATGTATAAATAACATACATGCATGCACCAGTGAAAACATCACCACCACCTAGGAAATAAACATATTCATCACCCCCAAAAGTTTACTTGTGCACTCTGTACTATTCCTCTGCCCCTCCCATTCACCTTTCTCTAGGCGTCCACTGATCTGCCTTTTTTATAAAAACAGAAGTTTATTTATTTATTTTGAGAAAGAGAGAGAGAGAGAGAGAAAGAGATTCCCAAGCAGGCTCTACACCATCAGCACAAAGCCCAATACAGGGCTCAAACTCACAAACCATAAGATCATGACCCGAGCTGAAATCCAGAGTCGGGTGTTTAACTGACTGCACCACCCAGGCACCTACTAATCTGTCTTTTACCACTGTAGATTAGTTTGCATCTTTCCCAAGTTGTGAATGAAAGGAGACTCATCCCTGTTGTAGTATATATCAATAATTCATTGCTTTTTATTGCTGAATATATTCCACTATACAGACAGACCAGTTTGTTTATCCATTCTCTTAATATATTAGTGTTAACCATAGTCACCGAGCTATATGTGCAATATGTCTCCAGAACTTAGTCATCTTATAACTGAAAATTCATACCCTTTGATCAATAATGTCTCCCCTTTTCCCGCATTCACTAGCCTCTGCTAATGACCATTCTACTCTGTTACGATGAACTCGACATTTTTTTTTAGATTCCACAATAGTGATATCATGAGAAATTTCTTTCTGGTCTGGCTTATTTCACATAGATAATGTCCTCTAGTTTCATCTGTGTTGTTGCAAATGGCAGGATTTCTTTTTTTAAGGCTGAATAATTTTGTATATCACACACACACACACACACACACACACACACACACGTTTGTAAAACTTTGGTTTGTGAGGATAATTCGTTCCAGAAATATGCTTGTAATCCAAAGCACTTGTATATCAAAGAGAATTTCCCCATAAGAAATCATGGAAACTCAGATGATTCCATTCCACAACCCAAAAAATAGTCATATAAAAATGATTACAATCCTGTAATAGAATACAAAATAATAAAGAACATACAAAATATAAAGAAAAATAAACAAATTAACCTGAACTTACCTTTGAAAACCTTCGTGGCTGGTGAGAAGGAGACAAGAGAGTGGAGGGTTATTGTGTAGGACAACTTTAACTACCACTAATGGAATCACTGCTATCTATTGGCTCAATGGAATCTTTCTTTCTGTGCCTCTTTAACAAGGAACCTATCCAATGACACTTGCTTTTGCCTCCTTTTGAGGATTTCGGGGAAATGTGATGCTGCATTGTCGTTAAACAGATACATCGCTCGCACTGCTCCAGCTTTATTTGGGTGGTGCTTTTCCACAAAATTTTGCACTGTTTCCCACATTTGACACATCTCCCTAATGTCATTGGAAGTGAGGGATTCCTTCCGCCTTTTCCTCCTCCTCCTCTGCTGACAAGATGCAGACATAGACTTCTTTACAAAGTCTTCCAATTCTGGCCACGCACGTACCTCGTTCATACTTCCCGATAATTCCCTTAACTTCCACCGTAATCATCTCCTTTTTCTTACCGCCTTTATTTCCAACCTTTTTCTGCATGGGGGCCACTGTATATGCTTGCATGGGTGTTGACTACAGGGCAGTATTAATAAACTCTTGTCACAGACTGTATTTAATGTAACTGACAATAAGGCAGCAGAGGAAAGGGTCTATATGTGCAGGCAGCCTGACCTAGGAAAAGCAAAGCATTCCTAAACTTACTCTTGGTATGGAAAAGTAAAGGACTGTCCATAGGTGCTTTGAAGTGACAAAAAATACACTAGTGTTCAGGTATGGGCACCTTCCACGTGCTGAAAAATCACTGAAAAACACCTCGGCCTGGAACTGAGCATCTGAGCACGGGACACCATCACCCATGATCCCACAGCAAGAGAGAGAGAGAGAAGAGCCATTGGCTCAGTTGTAATCATATGATATTGCTCGGTCATCAAGTTAAAATTTATTAGAAATGTTTGCTTATCTTGCAGAACACTTGCAGAATAAGTGACTCACCATCCAAGGTTATACTGTATATCATATTTTCTCTATCCACAGATACTAAGGTTGTTCCGTATTATGATTACTATGACAGTGCACTGTGACGGTGCAGATACCTCTTTAAAACAGTGATTTTACTTCCTTTGGATATATACTCGGAAGTGGGATTGCTGGATCATTTGGTAGTTCCATTTTTAATGTTTTGAGGGGTCTCCATACTGTTTTTGGTAGTGGCTGTACCAATTTATATCCTCATTCATTTTGTTGATTGTTTCCTCTGCTGGGCAAAAACGACCTAATCTGATCTAGCCTCCCTTGTTTATTTTTGCTTTTGTTGCCTGTGCTTTTAGTGCACATTGCAAAAAAACATTGTCGAGGCCAACGTCAAGGACCTTTTCCCTGACGTTTTCTACCAGGAGTTTTAGTTTCAGGTCTCCCTTTCAAATTTTGTTTTAATATTTATTTTTGAGAGAGAGACAGAACCAGAGAGCGAGTGGGGTAGGGGCAGAGAGAGGGGGAGACACAGAATCCGAAGCAGGCTCCAGGCTCCGAGCTGTCAGCACAGAGCCCGACGTGGGGCTCGAATTCACGAACTGTGTGATCATGACCTGAGCTGAAGTCTGAAGCTTCACTGACTGAGCCACTCAGGCACCCCTTTCAGGTCTTACTTTTTAAGTCTTCAATTTATTTTGGTTGCTTTTATATACGGTATTAAAAAAGGGCACAATGTCATTCTTTGGCATGTGGATATAGTTTTCCCAACATCACTTATTTAAGGGCCCATCCTTTCCCAATTGTTTATTCTTGATGCCTTTGTCAGAAATTAGTTGACTGTATATATGTGGGTGATGGAACTGTTCTTCCTACCTTCTTTGTGTGGTTATTCTCAAGTGTTTTTGCCCCACTGGGTTGCTGATGCTTTCCTAAGTGGCCTCTTAGAATCTTTCAGAGATATTTTCATTAGTGGCAACTGTCTAATTGTTCTTCTTTGGAGGGGGGAGAGAGGGGATAGAGGCTGGGGTCTGTCTCATAGTCTGCCATCATGGTGATATCACTCCTCTGAATCCACACTAATTAAAATACATGATTGAATAAATAAATGAGGAAGAAGTTATAAATCTTTCATACAGAGATTACACATAATATATGCAGGCATTCCCCATCATGATATTCAACTTAATTCTCTTCCTCTTAAGTGTTGGAAAGACTTAGTGACTCGCTTCCAAAGAATAACATACGGGTAGTGGAATACAGTAACCTTCCATTGGAGAAACCTGGCAAACACAACCTTTATCATGTAAACAGGGTTAATCATGTAAACCACCAGTAATAAGTCTTGTTGCTATCATGTACCCCCAATATGATGCAATGAAAAAGCTACTTTAATTACTGTGGTACATTGTACCAAAACCCATAGTTACAGTCTAAAGATTAAAAAAAAAAAAAAAATCAGGTAACTTCAAATTGAGAAGTATTCTACTAAGTATTTGAGTAGTACCCTTTAAATATATCAACATTACGAAAAAGAAATACTGAGAAACTGCCACAGCCCAGAGAAAACTAAGGAAATATAAAACCTAAATGCATGGGCACCTGGGTGGCTCAGTCAGCTAAGTGACCGACTCTTGATTTCAGCTCAGGTCATGATCTCACGGGTCGCGAGATCAAGCCTCACATTAGGCTCCCCATCGGGCACGGAGCCTACTTACAATTCTCTCTTTCCCTTTCCCTCTGCCCCTACCCCACTGCACGTACATGCACATGAGCTCTCTCTCTCTTAAAAAAAAAAAAAAAACAGAAACACCTAGGGGCACCTAGGTGGCTCAGTCGGTTGAGCTTCCGACTTCGGCTCAGGTCACTATCTCGCGGTTGATGAGTTTGAGCCCCATGTCGGGCTCTGTGCTGACAGCTCGGAGCCTGGAGCCTGCTTGGGATTCTGTGTGTGTGTGTCTCTCTCTCTGCCCCTCCCCCGCTCATGCTCTGTCTCTCTCTGTCTCAAAAATAAAATAAACATTAAAGAAAAAAAAAAAAACCCACCTAAATGCCACGGGGTATCCTGGATTAGATCCTGAAACAGAAAAAGGGCCTTAATAAAAAAACTGGTGACATTCAAAGAAAATCTGCAGTTAGTCAATAATAGTAGACCAGTTATTATTACTTAGTTTTGACAAAAGTACCACACTTACTTAAAACATTAACATTAGAAGAAATGGAGTGAAGGGCATGAAAAAAATGCTATGTACCATCTTTGAAACTTTTCTATAAATATCACTTTATTTCCAAATAAAAATTTCACTTAAAGGAGACAACATAACTCAGACTCCCTATAACACAATATATTTAATTTCCAACATGCAGTAAAAGAGTATTACAACGCAAAGAAATAAGGAAATGTGGGTCACGGCCCAGAGAAAAGTAAAAAACTAGAAAAGAAATTTAAGATGACATGGGTGTTGGAATTAGCAAAGACTTTAATAGCCATATAAATATGCTCAAAGGCAAGAGGAAAATATAGTCCCAGTGAATAAAAAGACGAAGAACCTTAGTGGGGAAATAGAAACTGTAAAAAAGAGCCAAGTAAAATTCTAAGTCAGAAAAGAATAATACCCATAATTTTAAAAAACTAAAATTAAAAAACCCAACTGAATGGCATTAACAGCACACTGAAGAGGACAGAAGAAAAGGTCAGTGGAATGTGAAGACAGATGGCTAGAAATTACCCCAATATAAAGAAAACAATATAGGGGCGCCTGGGTGGCGCAGTCAGTTAAGCGTCCGACTTCAGCCAGGTCACGATCTCGCAGTCTGTGAGTTCGAGCCCCGCGTCAGGCTCTGGGCTGATGGCTCAGAGCCTGGAGCCTGTTTCCGATTCTGTGTCTCCCTCTCTCTCTGCCCCTCCCCCGTTCATGCTCTGTCTCTCTCTGTCCCAAAAATAAATAAACGTTGAAAAAAAAAGAAAGAAAACAATATATAAATAAACAGAGCCTCCGTGACCTGTGGGACAACACCAATGCCTGTACGTGAAGCCCCAGAAATACAGGAGAAAATAGTGGAGCAGAAAAAGAACTTGAAGAATTAATGATCGAATATTTCCCAAACTTAGTGCAAAATGGACAGATAGGAGAAATGCAACGAACCCCAAACAGGATAAATATAAGGAAAATCACACCTAAGAACATCATAACAAAACTGCCGAAAGCCAGATAAAAAGCAAATACTGCAAGCAGAGAGAGAAAAACAACGTATTAACAAAGAGGAACAATGACATGAATGGTAGCTGAATTCTCATCAGAAACCAAGAAGGAGAAAGACAACGGAATGCCATTTTTAAATTATTCTATTCTATTCTATTCTATTCTATTCTATTCTATTCTATTCTATTCCATTCCATTCTAATCTATTTAGAGAGAGCACACACAAGAAGATCGGGGCAGAGAGAGAGAGAGGGTAGAAGGTCGAAAGAGGGCTCTGCGCTGACAGCAGCGACCCCGATATGAGACCATGACCTGAGCCAAAGTCAGACACTCAACCTACTAAGCCACCCAGGACCCCTGCCATTTTTTTAAAGACAAAATAATAATACCGTGGGTACAAACACAATGGAAAACAATACGGACGTTGCTCAGAAAATCAAAACTAGAACTACCATTTGATGCAGCAATTCCACTTCTGGGTGTGTAGCTTAAGGAAATTCAATCACAATGTCAAAGAGGTATCTACACCCCCTTGTTCACTGCAGCATTATTCCCAATAGTGCAGACATGGAAACAGCCTAGGTCCCTTCAATGGATGAATGCACAAAGAAAATGTGGTATATAGATACAGTGGAATATTATTAAGCCATATAAATGAAGGAAACCCTGCCATTTATGACAATACGGACAGACCTTGAGGGCATTATGCCAAGGGAAATGTCAGAGAAAAACAAATGCTGTATGATCTCATTTATATGTAGTTTTTTTTTTTAATTTTTTTTTCAATGTTATTTATTTTTGGGACAGAGAGAGACAGAGCATGAACGGGGGAGGGGCAGAGAGAGAGGGAGACACAGAATCGGAAACAGGCTCCAGGCTCTGAGCCATCAGCCCAGAGCCTGACGCGGGGCTCGAACTCACGGACCGCGAGATCGTGACCTGGCTGAAGTCGGACGCTTAACCGACTGCGCCACCCAGGCGCCCCTATATGTAGTTTTTTAATGTTTACTTCTTTTTGAGAGACAGAGGGGCGAGCAGGGGAGGGGCAGAAAGAGAAGGAGACACAGAATCCGACGCAGGCTCCAGGATCTGAGCTGTCAGCACAGAGCCCGACGCGGGGCTCGAACTCACAGACTGCGAGATCATGACCTGAGCCAAAGAGTCGCTCAACCGAATGAGCCACCCAGGCACCTCATTAATTTCTTTATTTTTAAGTTTATTTATTTTGAGAGAGAGTGCATACACTAGCAGGGGAGGGGCAGAGAGAAAGGGAGAGAGAGAATCTCAAGCAGGTCGATTTGGGGCTCAATCCCAGGAACTGCAAGATCATGACCTGAGTAGAAGTTAAGAGCTGGACACTTAACCAACTGAGCCACTCAGGCACCCCCAAAAAACACTTTTATATAAAGAAAATGGAACTGTTTAGCAGTCCAGCGCGACAAGAAATGCTCGAAGAAGCTCTTCATACTTAAAAGCAACGTCACGAGATGAAAACTTAGACCTACAAGACTGAAGAACAGAAATGGTAAATATATAGGTGCATATAAAAGATGGTGTCCTTTTTCCCCCTGAATTTCTTTAAAGGAAAGAAGAAACAAAGGGAAATAAAAACATGTAAGACAGACTGTAAACAAATAGCAAAATGATAGACCTAAAGCCAACCACATCAATAAGTGAATTCATCATAAATGGACTAAACACATCAAATCAATGGCAGAGGTTGTAACACAAGGAGGAAAAAAAAAGCAAAAAACAAACAAAAAAAAACTACAACTATATGCTGTGTATAACACACGCACTTTAAGTATGATGACACAAACAGGTCGAAGGAAAGTACAGAAAAAGATACATGCAAACAGTAAACTAAAGAAACCTGAAGTGGTAACCACGGTGTAATCAAGATTTAGATTTTCGTCACCCAGGAACATTTCCTTGTGTCCCTTTCCAGTCCTGTCTAGGATTTTCAGTATAGCGTTGAATAGAAATGGTAAAGTTAGACATCATCACCTTGCTCCTGGGTGGCTTATAAACCACTTCTGAATTTTATTTGCTGACAGTTTTTTTAGTGAATTATATAGTTAAGAGTTGTGCATTTTATTATTTATAAAACTTACCTCAACAACAAAAAAAATGAAACTTTAAACAAACATTGAACTCTAATTAGTAGGCTTGCTTTATACAACAGTATGGTTTATCGGTTATGAAACTACTTTCTGCAGGGTGCCTGGGTGGCTCAGTCTGTTAGGCATCTGACCTTGGCTCAGGTCATGATCTCACAGTTCGTGGGTTCAAACCTCATGTTGGGTTCTGCTGGAGCCTGGTCTCCCTCTCTCTCTCTCTCTCTCTGCCCCTCCCCTGCTCATGCGCGCGCCCGTGTGTGTGTGTGTGTGTGTGTGTGTGTGTGTGTGTGTGCGCGCGCGCGCATTCTCTCTCAAAAATAAACAAACATTAAAAAAATTTTTAAACTACTTTCTGTGTTTCCTTATGCGTGAACAAAGGTGAAATATATTGAGTACGATGGGAGCCTGGTTGCTTACTCTTGGAAAGATACATTGATTTCCTAACTGTGTCTGCTAAGGGGCATTAACGCAGTCACCGTAAGTAGCAAGAAACACATCTTGCTTTCTCAATACCATTCTCCACTAAATGGAACAAGTCTGCCTTGAAGAAACGATTGATTCTAAGGTAATTAAAACACAAGATAAACATGGAATATCTGTGTACCCAAAAGCAAAGAATTGGCTCAAACAATGATGGGACCTGTCAAAATGACAAAGGAGCCACCATAAAGAGGCTCCCACTACCAGTTCAAAATCAACCCACACCCTCCAGCAATTTATCTGTTACCTTATCAGTGGGCTGCACATTCTGCGGCAGGAACCACACCCTCTCTTCAGAGGTCTGAATCTCTACCTTGTGGTTGGGGAAGGGAGCACTTCCTTTAAGTTTCTAAGGTACTTGCTTAACTCTTCTTCAGCCCAGAAGTAGTAGCTGCATCCTGTAGTTGCTACTTCTGTGTAATTTCTGTAACTTCGAGTCCTTGTTTGCCTCCTCTTAGTAATGATTTACTAGAAAACCAGTCTACATTAATTGTTTCCTTAAAATCACTGGTGTGGTATCTGTCTTCCAATTGGATCCCAACTGATACAAGAACACATCACTTGTCTCTTAGCCCTACTGAAAAAATTCATTCCTAAATATAATCATCAGGAAACATCAGACATACCCAAAATGAGAGACACTCTACAATTTAAGTAACATGTATGTTTCAAAATTTCACGGGCAAATAAGGTAAAAATGACAACTAACCTCACTGTGTGACCCCTGCTTGGCTTCTGTGGTTGGGGAATGGGAAATCATTATAAAGCATATTTCCTGGGACAATGGATGAAATGTGAATATGGACCATGGATTAGGTAATAATATTGTATCAATGGTACAGTGTCTAATCTTGACAATTACACAGTGATAAGGTAAAAGAATGTCTTTATTCTTAGGAAATACACACTGATGTGTGTAATGGTAATAGGGAACTTTCAAATTGTTCAAAATAAACTAGCGTCGGGTGGGAGCAGACTAATAAAGCAAACGGGGCAACTTGTAAAGGACTGGCAAATCCGGGTAAAGTGAATACCGGAGTTCTAAAACAAGGGGCACCTGGCTGGCTTAGTTGGTTAAGCTTCCGACTCTTGACTTCGGCTCAGGTCATAATCCCCCGGTTCAAGTTTATGGGTTTGAGCCCGAATACGGCTCTGTACTGACAGTGCAGCAGAGCCTGCTTGCGATTCTCTCCCTCTCTGCCCCTCTCTCTCCCAAAAACAAACACTTTAAAAAGAATGCAAATTACCAAAACCAAAAAAATACGCTGAGTCCTTGAAATATGTTAAATATTTTAAAAAGAAGTCATCAATAAAAATTCAAAACTGAAATCTAGTTCAAGATGGCAAGTCGAATACATGCATATCAGGACTGAGAAACTACCAAACAAATTTCAAAGATCCCTGAGCAAGTGCACATGGGTAGCTCAGTCAGTTAAGCGTCCAACTCTTGGTTTCAACTCAGGTCATGATCTCACAGTTCGTGGGTTTGAGCCCCGTGTTAGGCTCTGCGCTGACAGCGTGGAGTTCAAACCTCATGGTTGGGAGAGGGTTGGGAGCCCTCTCTCTGTGCCCTTTCCCGGCTCTCTATCTCTCAAAATAAATAAATAAACTTAAAAAAAAAAATCCCTGAGTAGATCAGAAAATTGTGAGCAGGTAGGATTTATTTGATAGTGAAACCAGAGCAACACGTGTAACGCAAAACTCATAACTGAAGGAAGCTGTTGAGAGATTTTAAAAAGCCATTCCCAACCAAGCTTCCAGCTCAGAGTTAACAAAAAAGCATACCCGGGAGAATTCTCAAAGCAACAAACTGAAGGAAGAATTCAGAATATAGTGGTCTCCCCTAACCCATGGTTTCGCTTTCTATGGCATCAGTTACTCAAGGTCAACCACATCCTGGAAGCAAATGATCCTCTTTTGACTTACCAGCAAAAGGTCAATAGTAATCTATCATCAAATCACAACATATATGTCACTGACCTCCCTTCGTCTCATCATGTAGGCATGTTATCTCACACCATCACAAGAGGAAGGGTGAGTACCTTCGGGTAAGATATTTTGACAGGGACCACATTCACTTGTTGTTATAACTGCTCTAATTTATTATTAGTTATTGTTGTTAGTCTCGTACTGTTGTTATGCCCAGAATTCGTGATCCCCAAAGACCACCAGGGAGCCGAGTCCGATGCAAAAGCAAAGAGCCTTTATTCGAGCTAGCTCAAGCTCAATCTCCTACCTGCACCGACAAAGCGGTGAGATACCAGAGAGAGAGAGAGAGAGAGAGAGAGAGAGAGAGCGAGTTTCAAAAGCACAAAGGTTTTATAGGGGTCTAGGGGCAGTTGGTGAGGTAATGGCTGTGGCCTCAGCCGATTGGCTGGGGAAGGGTCGTAGCCTCGGCCGATTGGCTGGGGAAGGGTCGGAGTCCTGTTAACGCAGGTCGCCAGGCTGTTTTGATCGGGAAGTTTGAACGGGTGAGCGGGAGGTTACTCAAGGGGAGGAGGCGTGGTTCTGCAATTTTCCCGGAAAGGGGGCATGTCGGGGACATAGTCACTCAAGGTGGAGGACACCGAACAAGATGGAGTCAGCTGGCGTAGGTCCACTCTTTCACTGTGCCTCGCTTATAAATTAAACTTTATCATAGGTATGTATGTATAAGAAAAAACACAGGCTTCAGTACTATTTGCAGTTTCTAGGGGTCTTGGAATATATCCCCCGTGGATGAGGGGTACTAGATCTTTCAAATACCTTTCCTTCTTCTGCTTATACTACACAGGAGGTATTTTTGCGCATTTGATTTTAGCACAAAACTGCTAAAAGGACTGCTTTCTAAACAAACTGAGCAATTTACCTTGTATGTGGGAAGCGGGTATGGGTGTGGGTATTACGTGCAGGGGGGTGTCCTTGTTAATGATGCGGCTACAGACAGGCAGAGCAGAAAGGCAAAAAAGAACTGCTAATTTCAGTTTTTGTCCCTGGCACAGATAGTTTCCACAATGGGCACTGAAGCATGAGAAGCAGGGAAGTAGCCCAGGTTAGTTGTGAGTGGACGGAAAGAGACGTCTCTCCCTCCTTCTCACTCCTACAGAAGACAAGTTATTCACCCTACTCAACTGCATTGCTGGACCTTTTGTGACTTCCAACATGCACCCTTCCCTGCCTCCAGTCCAATGTGGCCCTAGGCAATGACCAAGAGGCAAGATTTCTGAATTCACCAACAAATGAACATCAGTTCCAGAATGAAAGCTTATTGTAAAAGGGATTTTTGTCTCCCCCCGCCCCGTGCACCCCCAAATCTGTAACAGTATATTGCTCAGTAAATATTTGTTGAATGAACTGATAAAAGCAGTTCAATAGAAATAAATACCTAATTCTAATGGACTTGCTCAAGCGGCAATCCATACACCTAAGTATTACGCAACCATTAAAAAGTTTATTTATAAAGTTAGTGATATGGAGAAACATTTGAGGATATTAAATCTTTTTTAAAAAGGAAATGGAGAACATGTTCTCTGTATTTTCTGATTACAAATTACTTTTATTGTTAAAAAATTTTTTAATTTTATTTTTTTTGAGAACACACCTGAACCCAACCCACCCTGCCTGAACTGAACGTACCAATTAATAAACAAACAGTATCCTACACAGTCAATGTACTGCTTGAGAGCGTGGACTCTGAAGACTATCTGCATACCTAATTAACGCCTAAATTATGGGAACTGAATACTGACACCGTAACTTAAATAGCTGCGGGACCCAGAGCAGGTTATTTAGCCTCTAGAAGCTTTAAAATTCAAGGTTACTTGTGAAGACTAAGCGAATCAGTATCCACTTCAAGCACGGACAACAGTGCCGGCACTGCAGAACTATACACGTATTAGCTTCTATTACTGTTGGATTCAAAACATTGTGCTAACTCTGGCGAGGAGAATGACGAATCAAAATCCAGTCTCTATCCGCAAAGATGGGAGGGGGAGGGACACACACAAAAGCCACGTAGGCGTCACAGCGGCATGAAAACGCGCTAAAACCGGGGATGGGCAACAAGTGTGCATTTAGAAGGAGTTATTTATTCCGAAGAGAGTCGAGCCGGGACACCACCGGAGCAAACAGCATTTGAACCACGTTCTAGGAACGCGCAGGACCTCCCCGAGCGACGAATAAGACAGACACGAGGGAAACCACAGAGGATCTTGGCAAAGGCACAAAGACAAACATTGACCTGCTCTTTCCCCAGGACGCCAGAAACGCGGGACAGGCTGGAGGACAGAACTGGTTACAGAGTGCTCATCACGCAAAGGGCCACGAGACCGCAAAATGCCAAGAGATCTCTGGCGAACTGAACTGGTTGCAGTGTTCCACGCAAAACGCCACGACACCGGGATGACACGGTTAACAAAAACAGTATCGGTTAACAACAGACCCCAAGGTACTAAGCTGTAGAAAGGAAATAAAGAACAAAGGTGTCGTGAAGAATGCCAGGACTACCACGACCCAGTCGCTGTCCACTGTCTTCTAGGCGCCGGGCTTGGAGACAACGCGACTCGGGGCCAGCAGACGGCAAAACAGCGCCTCCCGCAGGCGGCAAGCGAGCTGGGGAAGCGCGGAGAGGAAGAAACCTGCGGTGAGAACTACAGCTCCCACTGAGGCCTGGCCGACAGCACCCTCCCCATATTTCCGCTTCCGCCGCCCGCTCTTACGTACGGTCCGCTTGGGGACCTACCGGGGAGCGGGCCTGGCGCGTGACCGCGCGTGACCCCGCGTGACCGCGCGTGACTCCGCGAGCCGAGAGGCCGGGAGGCGGGATTCTGGGGCCCCATTGGTAGAAAGGCGACCCGAAAAGGTGGAACCCAACTTGAAAATCTCTATGGGGATTGGAGTTGACAAGACAAGGGCGGAGCTAAATGCCCGGATCCTGGCCAATCAGAGTCTGGGATCCGCCGGGAGACCGGGAAGGGGAAAGGGGCGAAATGGTTCTGTGGTCACATGCCGCGGGGTCTAGTGGGAGGAGCAGTTGCCCAGAGGACGCCTGGTGCTTCCTGTTTCCGGTTCCCGGAGTGGTGCACAGCGAGGCGTCTTGGGGAACGCTGGCCTTTGACACGAGTTGTGGGTCGGGGGCCTGCGGCTGGCCCCTCGCTGGCCCTGTCTCCCATCCCCAGGCAGGTATTCAGCCGGGGATTCTGCGCCTTGGCTACTCCCTTTGCCCGTGACACGTGAGTATGAGGGGCGTGGAGGAAGAGAGGAGCTGGAGAGCGCTCACACCTCGGCGTCCGTGACAGGGGCTGGGATCCCGAAGTCAGCTTTGGCCAAGGTTCTAGCCCAAAATGCAGCTAAAGAGCCCTAGGGCAGCGTGGAGGCGCAGGCGCAGGCGTGAGGGCAGGGAGTTACGAGTCCCGAAGGGAGCGAGGGAGAAAAGACCTACCCAGACCCGAGAGGGAATTGACGGGTATTGGAAAGCAGAGAAAGGAAGGACCCTAGGTATGGAGTCGTTTGAGGGATTACTGGCTACCTGGAGAAGGAATTTTTGGCCTGCATCGAGAAGGAAGCCAAAGTGGCATCATTTGGAGAGGATACGGCCCTAAGCGGTTGGAAAGTCAGGAGACGAAGACGGAACGAGAATTTCTAGAACCCTGGCAGAAGTTTGAAGGGGATGCGTGTGTGATACGGAGAAGCTCATGGAGGGCTTATCTAGGGTTTCGCTTTGTAGGGAGCTTCCGCTCTTGGGACACAGAGCTACTTCTCTAAGGCTTTGCAGCGTTGGGCCTTTTAGCTAATTAGGTTCGCTCTTCCAACGGTGTAGGCTGCTGGAGACAGGCGATAAGGGCTGCTACCTCGGGAGTGAGCCAGAGAGCAGAAAGTAGAAATTCCACTGAAAAATGGAAAGTGCTCGTGGCTAGTCTTGAGGGGTGGGAAAGAGTGGGACAGAGCCCCAGCGATGTGAACTGCTTCCCAATTCCTGCCTCCGTCATTGGTCATCCCATTAAAGAGAATTTTTTTTTTTTTTTTTTTTGCATTACCGAAATAGATCTGTCCCAGAACAGGACAATTGAAGGGGGGTTTTTCAAAATCTTAAAAGTCCTACTCTTTATTTCCAAAGTATCTAGACAAACTATGGCGCCTCAAGAATCTAATTGTAGCACACTCAAAGGGAACTACGCAGCCCTTGGATTTTAAACTCTTCCTAACAAATTTTTGCCCCTCTGTACTTTCCAGAAAATTGCCAGCAAGTAGCTTTGTGCCATGAATCCTCCAGGTTGTCCCACTAATTTCATACATGTTTAATACTTGTACAGCTTAGGGCAAATCATTTAACCTCTGTAAGCATCAGTTTCCTCATCTGTAAAACGAGAGAAATCATACCTGCTCTTCTGGGTTGTGAAGATTGCCAAAACGTAATCTAGATTAAAAACACTTAGAGCATTTGCCACTGAATCAAAAGAAGCAGTTCAAACACACAGATAAACCTTACACAGAAAAGAAATAATGTAAGTTTGGCATCCTAACTTCCTAAACCAATAAGCAAATGAAAGAGAGTTCAACTCAACTATTGCAGACCTCAGGGTGTTTAACCCTTCATCCTATTCTTTGTTCTAATTTGGGAAAAGAAATCATTAACTGTTAACAAATAAGGAACTGATTCTGAGGCCAAAGGACACCGCCTTCTGTGTGAGCATCCCTCCAGAAAACTGGTCCTGGGGGGAAGAAAAAAAAATCTCGAAAGTCCAGAATGTTGAAATTTTAAGTTAGATCCTGAGACCATATAAGGAAAATGGCATGTTCAATCAGTCCCATGAAAAGGGTCTCTTATTAATAGTTTTTTTTTTTTTTTTTAAGAACTCAGCTGGTTACGTAGTGTGCTGAGCAATGAATTTAGGGAAGGCGGGAGTCTGAGGTTTGAGTTCTTTATTCCAGCCTCTGAACTGTGTGAGGAGTCACTTCCCCCTGCTTTGTCAGAAAGAAAGCAGAGCTTTGGCTGCCGGCTCTGATCCCCAGAAAACTAATGTGAAAGGAGGTAACATGAACATGTGGTCCAGTGTAGACCGTGAGCTCTGGAGTCAGACTTTTCTGGTCCATCCACTAGCTGTGCCTCAGCTTTTTCATCTGTAAAATAAAGACAACAGTTGTATTCACTGCGTAGAGTTTTTGTAAGGATTAATTAGTTAATGCATGATAAGTGCCTTTAACAGTAGAAGGCAGGCACTCTATTAAGTTTCCTATTGGTGTTTTAAATGTGTATGGGGCCTCAGACTTTATGGCTGGTGATAATTATTCTATGGAAACATTTTATTAATATTACTACAGTGAATTGATGTTGGAAATAGTACAGAGTCAGAGAGACAAGACACCTTCCCCAGCATTTGTTGCCCTAGTGGAACGTGGAGAACAGAAGGCCAGATGTAAGTTGGTTTAGGGGAGTGGAGAAAATTCAGGGCTCAGAGCTTCCATTTTCCTGTTTTTAAACTTCTTAGTACCCATTAAATCCTGCCTAGCGTATTAACCAAAGTTCAGACTTGTGGTATGGAAGCATGCGTGAGGAAAGTTTGGAAGAATTCAATCTTTGTACCATAACAGTGAGAGTTATGAAATTAACAAGTAGCAGTGGCCTGAACGATCATCAGCTAAGAATGGATACCAGCGTGAAGTCTTCTGCAAGGGTAAATCAGAATGCCCTTGGGTGTGGGGATGGATTAGAGAAAAGGCGTCTGGGAAACGGAGCCAAGTGTTTCCATTCCTAGAACAGTACAAGGAACAGGTGAATTGGAAAGTGACTTAGTGATTCCCAAGAATTGCCAGCAATTTGGAGGATACAAAGACAACTGTCCTGGACATTTAGAAACTCTTGGGATTTGTGACATGTAGAGCCTGAGGTGGGTTTTGGAAGACTTCTTCAAACCACTCTCTCTCTGACCTCGTGAATTTTCTTCTTCCTATAATTTGAGTGACCAAATATTTTTTCAGACCTGAGACATCAGAGTAGATAAATGTCAAGGTTTAGGTGCTGTGGCTGTGTTTATCTCCATTCATCATTCTTAGGGCGAATATGAACAAAGATTGGTGGATGCTCCTGACTACTGATAGGAGAAGTTAGGGCCCAAAGTGTTCGAGTCTCTTTCTTTGTTTTACATCTTTCTCAATAACTTTCAACTGGACTTTATCAAGTGTTAAGTGAAAATTTGAGTGTTCTCTTAGGGTGGGTCACAGGTTGAAGCAGGTTTGTTTTTTTGTTTTTGTTTTTGTTTTTTTTTAATTTTTGTTTATTTTGAGAGAGCAAAAATCCCAAGCGGGCTCCATATTCAATGCAGAGCCCGATGCGGGGGTTCCATCTCATGACCGCAAGATCATGACCTGAGCCGATAGCAAGAGTTGAGCTCATCTGAGCCACCCAGATGCCCCTGAAGCAGCTTTTATGAACTGTATTAAACTATTAAACTTTAAATATGAGATATCGCAATCTAACTTTTCCCAAAAGCGTAAAGAAGCAAGGATGTCTCCACCCAAGTTGTCATAATTAAGTAATTCCTTTTTGTTCTTTCCTTTCCAACTCTTCGCACCCCCAGAGTTTGTTGTGAAGGACTCACCTGTGAATGACACAGAAAGCTACATGTCTGTATGGGTTTCCTATTACAGGTGCTCTTGGCACAAAGATACTAAGATGTACTATTTGTTGCATGTGCCAGAGAATCTTGGACATTCTGAAGAATCCCACTACCATTCCTTGGTGTCAGCTAGGTATTTCCTAGGCCATTGGTTGGTCCTTCTGACAGTTTCTAGGATGGAAAATACGCCTTTCTCCGTAGAGCTGAGGAGTTGGTAAATCGCCTCGGAAATTGAGACATTCCTGTTGTAGGGCACACCTATGCCGAAATCATCAGCAACAATCCGTAGACACTGACTCTTCACCAAGGCCAGTGCCGTCCTCTTTGCTGAACACACAGTGTGCCCCTTTCCTGAAGGCACCCAGGCAGGACAGGAGGTGAGCAACAGTGTCAGGCAAGAGAGTCCGCTAGGAAAAGACTTGCAAAATAAGTTTTATTTATTTATTTTTTTTAATTTTTTTAACGTTTTTATTTATTTTTGAGACAGAGAGAGACAGAGCATGAACGGGGGAGGGTCAGAGAGAGGGAGACACAGAATCTGAAACAGGCTCCAGGCTCTGAGCTGTCAGCACAGAGCCCGACGCGGGGCTCGAACTCACGGACCGCGAGATCGTGACCTGAGCCGAAGTCGGCCGCTTAACCGACTGAGCCACCCAGGCGCCCCGCAAAATAAGTTTTAAAAAGAAAAAAAACCTAGAGAGTAAGAATCCAATTCTGAACGTTAAAGGATGGGAAAAAAATAATGGGTGAAAGCCAAAAGCTTGAAACAGACACAAGAAAATGAACCCCAACTTCCTGATAAGGAGGAAGACTGACTAGCGTAAAATAAGTGACGGACGGGAGATGAAATGGTAAAAACAAAAACACATTCACTTATTACACGTTGCTGTGTTTTATCTCTCTCTCCCTTCTTTCCTGATCCTACCCCGCTTCCTCCACACACACACACCGTCTCCCAAAAGGATGTTCCCCTTCTGCAGCTGCTGGAGGACTGGACTGCTCCTGCCACTGCTCCTGGCTGTGGCAGTAAGAGAATCCTGGCAGACAGAAGAAAAAACCTGCGACCTGGTGGGAGACAAGGGTAGAGAGTCAGAGACAGAGTTGGCTCTACTGAAGAGGCTGCAACCACTGTATAACAAAAGGTAAAGAGTCTTTTCCTCCACTTACTGACGTTATTCTCCTGTTACTACTCTGTACGGAGGGAATACGTGTATAAGAACCTCCTCTGGGAGACGGTTCTAACTTGAACTTCAGTAGTATTGGTCTTATTTGGCCATGGTAGCTTGCCTTTTTTTTTTTTTTTTTTTTTTTTTTTTTATAATACAGAGCAAATTCTCAGCCCAGTTTTTACTAGCAATGTGCAGTTCTCTTATGCAGAAGGGTAGCTATTTCCGAGACTGGATCCAAGAGACCAACTTGTAGGAATTAAAAAGCATTATTTGATACCTCCATTTAGTGGGACTTTAGAAGAATCAGATGAACATTGAGGCCTACACACATCATCTTAACTGTTAGGAATCTTCAGGTATGTAAATCTGGAAATGATCTTCGAGGGACAAGGGATACTTCCTGTGAACACAGATCCTTATTCGCGGGGAAATAGCAACTAACACTTTAGCATAATCTGGAACAGGTGTTCTAGAATATCTAGGCGTCTTGAGTGTCGTGTCTTAATCAGTCATCATCAACAATTAGGATTGTCTCATGGTTCAGTAAATATGATTCACTCTTAACGTGGATATCTCATGATTCATGGATGTCGCGTGATGCGACGAATGTTATTCACTATTACGTTTAGTTGTGACATCAAATAAATAAATGGATCACACTTTCGGGGGACCGGTGTTAAAGGAAGAGAGGCCGCTTGTCCTAAGGCTGATAGCCAGTAACTCTCCTCTTCCTTCTTTCTCCACGCTTCTCCTTGCAGCTTTGAGAGCACTGTGGGCCAGGGCCCAGATACATATATCTACATGTTCAGGGTGTGCCGAGAAGCTGGCAACCGTACCTCTGGGGCAGGCCTGGTGCAGATCAACAAAAGTAACGGCAAGGAGACAGTGGTAGGGAGACTCAACGAGACCCACATCTTCAATGGAAGTAAGAGTCTCCCTGTTGATTGATTGATCCCAAGTCAATCCCTCTGACAGTCCTGTATATGTCAGCCTTTCTCAGTGTCTTTGGAGCATCCTACGGCATGTGGGCTTCAGTTCACCTGAGACTGTAAACCACAGGATACCTAGTTCCCCAGCTCCTCTGGAGCCATGGCTCAGGACCTCTGTGTGCTTGTTTTAAAGTTAATGAAAAGCTTCGGCAAAAAGAAGAATCTAGCTGGGATTCTGTAGCTTAATGCGTTTTTCGTGCTAGTCACGAAAATACCAACCGTGACCATTTCGCATTGAAATAGTCCAACTCTGCCAGTTAAATTTTAAGAGATTAAGTTAAGCTCTTTTGCAAACCAGTCTGCAGAAACTTCCCCACCAACTTGTGGTGTGGTGGTTATGTTTCTCAAAAGTCCTAAAATCATTATTGCCGAAAGGACTCTTTGAGCACCTGTGGTCTGATTCCCTCCTTTAAGTGGATGGCTGTATTTTCCAGTGCAGGCATTTGCTCCGATCAGTAATATAATAAAACGACATCGAGAGTTTAGGCCTCGGGGTTGGAAGACTGGGTTTCCGACCCAGCTTATGTTTACTTGTCCTGTGACTTGGAGGAATCATTTCATCTTACTGTGTTTTTTGTATCGGAAGCGGAATCTTTTACCTTGTTCACCCGGTAAACCAAAGGATATTTTGCAAAAGAAATTTGAATGTGGTAAACATTAAAGAAGAAATGGCAGCATGTCCAGGTGGCTCCGTCAGTTCAGTGTCCGACTCTTGATTTCGGCTTAGGTCATGACCTCACAGTGCATGAATTCGAGCCCGGCACAGGGGTCTGCTCTGACGGTGCCGACCCTGCTTGGGATTCTCTCTGTCTGCCCCTCCGTGCCTTGCGCTCTCTTTCTCTCTCAAAATAAGTAAATAAGCTTTAGAAAATAAAAACGGGGGGACCTGGGTGGCTCAGCAGGTTAATCATCCGACTTCAGCTCAGGTCATGATCTCACGGTCTGTGGGTGTGAGCCCCGCGTCGGGCTCTGGGTTGGTAACTCAGAGCCTGGAGCCTGCTTTAGTGTCTGTGTCTCCCTTTCTCTCTGTCCCTCCCCTGCTTGTGGGCGTGCACGCTCTCTCAAAAATGAGTAAACATTGAAAAAAAAAAAAAAAAGAATAAATGGCTCCCAACCTTAAAAATCATCCACTTTGAGGGGTGCCTGGGTGACTCAGTCGGTTAAGTGTCCAACTTCTGCTCAGGTCATGGTCTCGCCATTTAGGAATTGCGACCCCCACATCGGGCTCTGTGCTGACAGCTCAGAGCCTGGAGCCTGCTTCAGAGTCTGTGTCTCCCTCTCTCTATGCCCTTCCCCTGCTCACGCTCTCTCTCAAAAATAAATAAACATTAAAATTTTTTTCAGTCATCCACTTTGAATTTATCTGTGGCTAATTTTAAATCGTAGGCATTCCCCTGCCAGCTGCTAATTTTATGGAACCTCTTCTTTCGATGTTAGCAGGTGTTCCGAAAATGTGAATCATTGTCACAGTGTGGTTCATAATTGTTTTTTCACTATCAATTGCCTGCCTTTTATTGTGGAAAATTAAGATTATCATATGAATATCTGGATCTCAGTTGTCTTAAGGGAACACAAAGCTGTTACAAAGAAGCCAGTTTTAGCTTGGTATTTGGTATACAGAGCCCATACTGATTAGGATTATTTGAATTAAAACCAGTTTCATTGAACTTCTCAGTTCCTTTCTACCATAGTACCTAGGCCCGCCTCTGCTTTCCCCCCACCCCAAAGCTCCACTTTCCTGGTCTCTCTCAGGTAATTGGATCATGCTGACCTATAAAGGGGGTGATGAATACGACAGGCACTGCGGCATGGAGCAGCGTCGTGCAGTGGTGATGATCTCCTGCAATCGACACACCCTAGCGGTGAGGCGTCCTGGGGCACACGGGCCTAGAGAGCACATGCAAGGACTGACCCGAGGTGGGAGAGTCTCCAGAGGGGACGAGAAAACACTGGGATGGATCAGAAGTCTGGTGTCGCCCTGCACCACAGACACCTTGTCTTCCATCATATGTGGAAAATAAGTTATTGAACCAAGAGAAAGCAACTGGTTTTTTTGGCTTGTGGGTTTTTTTCTTTTTTTAATAAGAGCCCAAAGGAAACCGTTCACCACATAACTGTTGCGTTCTGGCCTTTCATCATCAGGACAATTTTAACCCTGTGTCTGAGGAGCGAGGCAAAGTCCAAGATTGTTTCTACCTCTTCGAGATGGACAGCAGCCTGGCCTGTGCCCCGGAGATCTCCCGCCTCAGTGTGGGTTCTATCTTACTAGTCACGTGAGTGCTTTTTCCTCTGTCAGTCCAAGCAGTCTTTTTTTTTCTCCTCTCAACTCAATTCCTTGGTGCTATTTAGATACAAATTGTGTTTGTAGGGAGGGTGGGGGTGGGCGGGGAGCTTCGCATGAAAATCCTCTTTAAACTCTGACTATGCAAGTTTTTTTCAAAACGAGTAAGAAGTATTTGCATTGGGAGGTGCTTTTTATCCCCCTACAGGAGGACCGGACTCTTCTTAAATCTATCCCATTAGACTATTAGAACTTTGGGAGAAATGGAACTGTAGATCTGTAACTATTCTTGGCTTTAGGTGAGAGTCATACACTAGGGTCTTGTTTTTTCTGAGCCTTTTGCTTTTAGACAATGTTAATTGGCTTTTTAAAGAGGCTAACCCTCCCCCTCCCCCTTTTTTCCCCCATTTTTACAGAATACAGCCTAGGAAACAGCTAGTGAATACAAAGATCATCTTTATTATTGAAGCTTTACTCTTCCTTGGTCTTTAAGCAGAGAGGTCTTTATTCCTCAACAGGTTTGCATCACTGGTCGCAGTCTACGTCATCGGGGGGTTCCTATACCAGCGACTGGTGGTGGGAGCCAAGGGAATGGAGCAGTTTCCTCACCTCGCCTTCTGGCAAGATCTTGGCAACCTGGTAGCAGTAAGTAACAGGACTGCTGGCTGAGTCTGTAGCCTGCATACGAGACTGAGTCACCAACCATCTCGGTTTACCCAGACTGAGGGATCTCTCGAGACACAGGACTTTGGGTGCTAAAACTACAAAAGCCCCAGCAAACCCAGTACAAAGTACCTGCTGGCCCTAGCACAAAGCAGTAAGTAGCGTAGCATCTTAGTGCCTGGCCTTTGCCAAAGACGTGGCTGGGAGAACAACACCGTTGCTTAGATTTAGGAATCTGAGAAAGCTTTGCAGGGGCCTAGATGGCGAGATGAGATGTGATTAGAATTTTTCTCCGGTTAGCCCCAAATTCAATTCAGGCTGATGCTTAGAGCATCTAGGTTTTCTCCTCATCCCTGAAGAAACCTAGTTCTTGCCACATTCTTGGCCCATGGGTACATTTTGCCTCCCCCTAAAGTTGGTTATTCCAAATTATCATTTCCTTCCTTTGCTTGTCTCTCTACAGGATGGTTGTGACTTTGTGTGCCGTTCTAAACCCCGAAATGTGCCTGCTGCATATCGTGGTGTGGGGGATGATCAGCTGGGGGAAGAGTCAGAAGAAAGGGATGATCATTTATTACCAATGTGATTGCACTTTAAATGCCCGGCTGCTTCTTCGGTCCCCCAAACCAAAGCATACTCAGCCAGATTTCTTAAGCAGCGTCCACTCCAGTCTCTCATCCCACCCTTAATATTGCTCTTGCTTTCCAGTTTGCTTTTGGTTTGCATTCTCTTCTCACTAGCAGAAATGCCTTTCCTTTTTCCCCGATCTGTTCTTTCTCTAGAGAGGTACAGTTACAGGACAGATAAAATGATAGGGCCTGTGCACAAGAGGCTATTACACTATCTCTTGGTGTCAGAAGGTACAAATAGGATAGTTCTAGTGAGCAAAAAAGCGTGGCAGCCTCCCTGACCTTTTTAAACACATTTTCACAAGTTTTTGAGACACTGGATTTGTTTAATTAAAAAAAAAAAAAAAAAAAAAAGGCAAGAAACATTATTTATACAAGGTTTGATTGCTTTCATGCCATTACTCTGCACCCTGCAGTGGTCTCCGTGAGAATCTGGATGTGGTCTCTTGCTGCTTGAAACTACTCTACAGCGATCCTTTGGTTGCAGTCCAAGTATTGCCATTTGGTCTGAGCCCGGAGATGTTGCAGACTTCTCCCACCTCTGGGATTAGGATGGGGAAGATGATTCATTTCCCACTTAGAGGATTATAAAATACCATCCCATCAGTTGTTGGCATTGGAGTGACCTTCTAGCTGGAACTGGGCCCTGGATTCCGGGTTCATGGTCATTAGTCCCCATGTGGCTGGAAGTCTAGTCTGTTGAAAAGGGAAAGTGAATCAGACCCCGTGTGCTACAGGGGTTCCAGAAAAGGAAGTCTGTTTACCTGTAGTGGGACGTCCTCAGTGGCTTTCTTCTCCCACTTGCAGTAAAAGCTGGTAGAGCTTTTCTTCTAAGATGTTTCCCTCTGCTGATATTTCTAAGTATGTTGCACTTTCTTCGCAGGCATGTCAACCTTCCCCCACCCGACCCTACCCCCCAAAATCTTCTGGAAAGGGAATGAAAGCAGAGGTGGGACATCTAGGGCTCTGCCGTCCTGTGCTCTGGGTGTGGAATGCTGCGGCGCTTGTCCCTTCTGGCTCAGGGAAGGACCTTCTTGCCCACAGCAGTTCTGTGGGGGGAGGTTTGGAATCCTCTGATGCTTCCTTTCTTGTTTAGGCCATGTGCCCACAAGCCTGGCCCGATCTTTCTGTGATAGTGAACTTGGGCCAGTGAAGAGTAACATGGCTCCACTGGACACAAGAGGACGGAGTCAACAGGCAGGGGCCTTTTACAGCCTTTAGGGAAGAAAATGAAATTATTTCATCTTTGGACTTTTGAATACTTTTGGAATGATTTTTTTTCCTTCTTTCTAAAACAGGGAAAATAATGTTATAAAAACATCTTTTTTGTTATTTGTTTGCATCCCTCCCCCACACCTGGTGTTTTAAAAACGCAAAAAAAAAAAAAAGGAAACTACATTCTTTTGTACAAAAACACTTAAAAGATTAAAAAAACAAACAAACAACTTGCCCTAGTCTTTTGTATGAAAGAAGAGGGTAGAGACGCTGGAATGGAGTAAGAGACAACTGAGACCAATTTTTATCCTTTTACTGAGGAGGAAAAAAATATTTAATATTTTTGTTGTATAAGGAATAGCGCCTAAGGCAGGTACTTACACTCCTGACCTCAGCCCCACACACTCCTGTTTGAATAAAGCTATAGGACAGAGCAGAGTTGGAACTGAAAAGAAAGGGAGGGTAGAAGACACACAGACTGAAGGGAGCACGGGGATGCGGAACGAATGACGGCCACACGCGTGCCCAACACCTTTTAGCCCCTGCAGCGGGTCAGAATGACGCCGACCGAGTCTCTGCGCGGGCTGGTGACCCTGCCAGGAACGCAGGAGAAAACGTTCAGTACCGAGGGAGCGACGACAAAGACCCCGGGCCACGGCCAGGCGGTCCAGAGGGAAGAGGGGCCGCCAGATTTGGCCGCTCGTGTCACGCCAGCTAGAAAAACCCCACCTCGCTCTCCCGCTGCGGAGGCGCACCCGCGTTCCACCCACTTCCTTAACGGTTCCACACGGTCTGTTCCTCCTCCCGGAGAGCTGAGGCCCTGGCTATGTGCTCCACTCCAGGATAAGGCGGAGCAGTCCTACTTCTCTAGACTGCCTCTTTTTATAAAGATTGGATCAGGGGAAGTGAGAAAAGCGAGAACCGTAACTTTTAAAAATGAAGGTAGAACCCGGAGAAAATGTCACAGCTGCCGCCATGTAGCACCAGCAACCAATTCTTGCACTTTTCTTCCCTGTCTCGGTAATCCCCTCTCCAGAAGATTCACGTAATTGGAACAGCTCTTTCTTCCCTGTAAAGTCTGCTGCTACCAGGTTATAACCTGGACAGTGGAGAGTGTCCGCCTTCGGCTCGTGTGTGCGAGAGGGCCACCTTAGGTCTCCTTGAGGACGTTTATCTTGGCGCAGATCTTGAGGGCAGGGCCCAACTTGATGTTCATGGCACTCATGAGATGTTCCTCTTTAAGTAATAAAAGGGCCTGTCCATCAATCTCCTGGGAACGGAACTCCTCTGCAATCTCTTGGCAGCCTAGAAGGAAATGGGGGGAATACACATGAGAAACCCCATAGGGGCACCCGAGGATACGAGGGAGAAACTAAAGATGAAAACGGGCGCCCGGGTGGCTCAGTCGGTTAAGCATCCAACTTGGGCTCAGGTCATGATCTCACGGTCCGTGGGGTCAAGCCCTGCTTCAGGTCCTGTGTCTCCCTCTCCCTCTGCCCCTCCCCTGCCCATGCTCTGTCTCTCTCCAAGATAAATAAACATTAAAAAATTTTTAAGTAAAAATTAAAAAAAATAAATATGAACACAAAAAGCCTCGGGGCCCCTGGCTGGCTGTCGGTTGAGCATCAGACTCGCGATTTCAGCTCAGGTCATGATCTCGCAGTTCGTGAGTTCAAGCCCCCCGTCTGACTCTGCATATACAGCATGGAAACCGCTTAGGATCCTCTCTCTCCTCGCTGCCTGTCCACCATTTGCACGCGCTCTTTCTCTTTCTCTCCCAAAAATGAACATTTAAAAAAGCCGAGATAAAAGAAGAATGACAAAGTTGTCCAATCATAGAAATAACTTCATTCAAATAGCTTGAGCAAGGAGGAAAAAAAGGAAGGAGCGAGATCAACCTGTTTTCTTTCATAATAGCAAAAAGCAAAGTTCGGAGCCTTTGTGGCAGTTTCGCTTAAGGACCCATAATTCACACAAATGGCAAAACGGGTACAGTGATTTTGTTTTCTGGAGAAAACCATCCTTTTTCCAGAGTAGCTGATAAACAATCCTGCCTTGAAGAGCGTGGAGTTAACAACGGCCCCTCATTTCCTAGTCCCTTTAGTGGGAAAAAGTCTTCCATCCGTGACAGGTATCACAGTCACACACAAAAAATATACTTTATCCAAAAATTACCGGCAAGAAACATGAAGGTGAAAATCAAACACTGCAAGACTGCTGACACAGTTGAGGACAATCAACACAGAAGGAAATTAAGAAACCAGGCTGTGGACAAGTAACTTGGGCCAACGATCAAGAGTAGAGCCTTCATCATCCCGTACTTCAGTCCCTACTGCTTAAGAGTCAGTCACGTTCCGTGTCACCAAGGCCCACACTGGGTGACCTAAGGAAACTCTCAACCTGTATGGGATCCGGGTTCTGCCGGATAGATCCTCAGTACCTTGTAGAGAAGCGATGAACTCATACACCTCTTCTACGCTCCAGCGGCTCGGGTTGCTGGACAGGAACACAGGGTTGATGCCATGTAATTCTGGTGTCGGTGGTACCGTATTGGGGGTCCCCAGGTCACGTTCTCCATGCCCAGTTCTCACAGATAAAGGCCCAGGAGATGTCGGAGAGAGTGCTTCATCGTAACTGGAATTATCCGAACCCCTGCTAGAGTCCTCTTGACCCTAAGGAGAGAATCCCAAAGCAGTGAGATCATGAATACGGGGCGTGAGGTGTCCCCCTGCCCTCCCCAGCCATTGGGGTTTGAGCCAATAATTGTGCAGAGAGGAAAACCTAGCATCACCGCGAGGGAAAAACCCGCGCTTGGTTTGCAAATGCCCAGTCACTAGCCCACTCTCAAGTCGCTTTCAAGTATATGCTATCACTTCCTCGATTCTCCCTTCTTCCAACAATTTGGGTTTTCCCAAATGTGATGTCGAGATTAACGGATACGTGAACCAGTCATCAGGTGAAAGGAGACCAGAGGTCAGGATCTCTTGGGATTTCAAGTGATGCAATCAATACAAAAATGAGTTCTGGTCTCCTGCTGTCTTTCACCTGGGCAAAGGAATCGCCCGGTAGGGGAGGACCAAGGGAAAAGGACCACTTGAAAAGGGAGCCGGCTCTGCACCGGCAGCTCACCCGGTGGCGCTTGCCCTGGATCTTGGCGCGGGCGATGTCGGAGGAGCTACGGCGGGGTCCACGCCGACGAACACGAGCATAGTTGGCTTCTTGGAACTCTTTCATTTTTTTCCTCTTCAGCCGGAACTGGTGACTACAGCTCACGTTATACCTACAGGTCAGGGCACGCGCCAGACGTCAAAGGTGCTACAAAGACTACCCTGCTACCTTTCGCTAAACGTGAATCGGTGTCTTAAGAACCGACTCGGGGACGAACGGGCCAGCAGACAGGCAAGGAGACTCATTGAACGATCAGCTGTGAGATGATCCCAGGGAAGGAAGGGGGGGGCGCCCTGTTAGACGGAGGAACGGGTGCAGAAGGTGAGGAAGGGGTGCCCGTGGTACCTCTTAGCGCAAGTCATGGAGCAGAACCTCTTGGAGCCGCGAAACTGCTCTGCGGGAGCATACTTCCCGCAGTACTCACACTTCAGGAGATTCGCCTTCTTATCCAGCTCTGGAAAACAAGGCCTCGTTGGAGAGCGGTCACCGGTTCCGCTGCCGCTCAGGCCGTCGTGCGGCCCACAGTTGACCAATCACTCTCAGGGTTCGCCCCCACGGAGCTACGCGACCTAAGTCAGAATCCCTACAACCTGAAGTTCAGAATCCAAAACCATAAAGGTGTGTCCCTCAGGAACGTCCCCGGGCTTCGGACTTCAGGCCGACTGTTTCCGTTTTCGATGACTAGCTTTGGCCTTTTTTTCCTTGTAATGTTTTTTTTAACGTTTCTTTGTTTTGAGAGAGTGCGCTTAAGAGTGGGGGAGAAGCAGAGAGAGAGGAGAGGGAGAATCCCACGCGAGCTCCACGCCACCGGCGCAGAGCCCGATTCGGGGCTCGAACTCCGGAACCGTGTGATCAAGACCTGAGCCTAAACCAAGAGTCGGACGCTTAACCAACTGAGCCACCCAGGTGCCCCGAAGACGAACTTTATCCTAATTCATACTCTCAGATTTCAGATAAGACTGCCTTGGCGAGCAGGACAGAGGAACTAATTACTAACTACAAAGATACAAGATCCCTCTCCCAACAACAGTTTACAAAAGCCGTGGGGGAAATGTAAACAGAGTCCATAATGTACGTTATAAAATCTAGACTAAGGTGAACTAGGGGTGCCTGGGTGACTCAGTCGGTTAAGCGTCCAACTTCAGCTCAGGTCACGACCTCACGGTTCCGGAGTTCGAGCCCCATATCGGGCTCCCTGCTATCAGTGCAGAGCCGGCTTCAGATCCTCTCTCTGCCCTTCCCCCACTCCACGCTCACGCTCTCTATGTCTCTCAAAAGTAAACGTAAACTTTTTTTTTACAAAAATAAGTATCCTATTTTATTTTTTTAAATGTTTTTATTATTTATTTCTGAAGAGACAGTGAGAGACAGAGAGAGAGAGTACAAGCCGGGATGGGGCAGAGAGAGAGGGAGACACAGAATCTGAAGCAGCCCCAGGCTCTGAGCTGTTGGCACAGAGCCCCACACGGGGCTTGAGCTCACAGACCATGAGCTCATGACCTGAGCCAAAGTCGGAGAAGTCTCCTCTTGGAGATCTTTTGAAAAATATATCCTTACAGTAAATAATTCAAGAGGTTAGCTGGAAAAAACTACCCTAATCCTCTGGAACTCCTTTCGTGTGATTCTACACATTCTGGTATTGAATATAGTTGCTGTGTGTGAATGGACTTCACCTAATTCCCACCTTAAATAATCACTATTTTACACTGAGTCAAACACATCTCCGTGAGCCTCCTTCCCCAGAGGGGTCTCTAAATTAATACTCACCAGCCGATGGGCTGTCCCCTCCCAAGGGGCCACCTGACTGATTCTCATTCAGCCCCGTCGGGAGGCCGGTCTGCAGCGGCTTCTCAGACTCTTTCAGTAACTGAGAACAACCCACCTGTGCCAGACAAAGTTTACAGGGAAGTCAGCCCGACTCCCTTCTGCTTCTCGATAGCTTTCCCCAGCGTTCCTCAGCCGTCTCTGCCTGGTTCTCTGAGTTAACCCAACCCTGGTGCAGAGAAACCTGTTCAAGAGGACAATCAGGAGTGCCTAACTGGCTCTTCTCCCATAAGCCCCTGGGAGACAGGTTTCTACCTCGGCTGTCCTCTGCCTTCCAAAGTCGCAGAACACCGGCATTCTGGTCCTGGTTCTGCAAGGGCTGGCAACCTAGAAAAAGTCCCTTAACTTCTTCACCACACGTCTCTTCGTTCTCATACAACCCAGTTTGTGGAGCTAAACATGAACAGCTTTTTCCTTTTCTTCTCCTCACCCAACACTGCCGTTTCTTCTGGTCTACACATAACCTTCCCACTTCCCTTCCTTCTTTTCCTTCACAACTCACTATGCGCACAACAGAACTGGACCATTCTCTAGCAATTAAACGGTTCTGAGACCGTTGATTTTAGCGGACTTTGGAAAGACAGTAATCAGACCACGCCTCCACTTGAAAGTCCCACCTTATGGCCCTGCCCTCACCGGGAAAGGCTCTGCTCCTTCCTGGATAACGAAGCCTTCAATGATGTGGGTGAGAATCTGGGGCTTCACGATGGCCTGTGGGGGTTTTGAGTCACCCATCTGTCTGGACACCATGGCTAGCGTAGGAGGGGGTGCTGACGGGGCAGGAGCCAAGGCTACTAGTTCACTGCTTGGAGTATTAGCATTCACACCGGTCACTGGTTCAGCTTTCTCTGGAAAACAAACACAGACTAAGGAGCAGACCGGGGATGACATAACCGGTCCGTCTGTTCGCCAAGCCAGTGCGATCTTCCACAATGATACACGTTCACCTCTGAGCATTCACCCTGGTGTCCCTATTTTAGGATCCACTCATTCATCCAAGTTCAGGCCCGTATTCCCGTATTCTCCGGAACCAGATTTATCTTTCGGCCCGCTCCGAACATTTCTCTAATCTCTGCACTGCACAAGTCAGTTACTCACCTCCAAGACTGCTCTTCTCCTCCAGGGCCTTTGGGCTCTCTGCTGCTGGAGATGCCTTGGCAGGAAGCATTGAACCCAATGTGGAGACATCGTCTCTCTCCTCCTCAGATTCTGCCTTCCGTTTGACAGCCAACGTCTGGGGTTTGCTCTGTCAAGTGAAGAACAGGAAAGAAATCAAGATATATGAGTGAAGGAGCATAAAGAACCTCAATTACTCCCATAATACCGGCGAAAATTTTCTCGTTTCCAGATTCCCCAATTGGTATACTCCCCACGGTACACTAAGATTTCCTGGCCATTCCCAAGAAGTGTATCTTCTACATCAGGACAAAAGAAAACGTCACATGTAGCCCTGACCTAGACCTCAGAACCCTGGATCCATTCTGGCCCAACCGAGAACTACTGTTTTTCCAAAGATCCATTTAAGTGATCAAGGCTATCTCGATCTAACTTAGTAGAGATCCAAAAACCCAGAATGAATTCAGTAGCAAACTCAGGAGTATGAAGTACAGACTATTACACACATTAACGTCTCTCTGTTACAAAAGGAACGAATAAGTACCAGCACCTTAACCTTCTATTAATGTCTCTCTTACAAAAGAAGCAAATACCAGTATCTTCTTCAGTTTTAGGGTTTGTAACAAGTAACGGTCACCGATGAAACAAGACGATGATTAACAGAGCAACTGATGCAGTAACTTATTCACACACGCGTGCTCACTCACTCACATGTATGAATTATGGATTTGTTATGGACTGAATGTGGTCTCCTCCTTCCCAATTCGTAAGTCCTAACCCCAGTGCAGCTGTATTGGGAGATGGGGTTTCCAGTGAAGAAGTTAAGGTTAAATGATAAATATCAGTATCTTAACTTTTCCAACTCTTTTTTTTTTTTTTTAAGAGAGAGAGAGAGAGAGAGTGCGAGTGGGGTCGGGGGACAGAGCGAGGGAGGGAGAGGGTCCCAAGCAGGCTCCATGCTCAGTGCAGAGCCCGTCACGGGGCTCCATCCCACAACCCGAGGATCGTGACCCGAGCCGAAACAAGAGTCGGATGCTCAACCCACTGAGCCACCAAGTCTCCCTTCTTTTCATTCCCCTCCTATGTTAAGCTCTGTTTCCGCTGAGCCCCAGGCCCACTGGAAGGTGACCGTGCCCTCAAAACCATCAGCTGGCACTCACCGGCAGGTGCACGGACTGCATGTAGAAGGCGGCAGGTACCTGGGCTACGACAGGTGAGGAGGTGGTAGCCCCACCCTTTACCACGTGCGCCGTCCCCTGCACAGGAGCAAGGGTCATCCCGGAGGCCAAGGCGGGAGGGCACTCTTGCGGCGCGCCAGGAGCCTGGGACGAAGGTGGCGAGGAGGCCAAGTGGGCCTGACCAGGCTGCGCTGTGCTGGGCATCCCCCGGGAAGTAGGTACGGCGGCCGCCAGCTGTGCCAACCCCAGGGCCTGCGCCTGGGCTGTCCCCGGCTGCCGGGTGCCCACGACTTGCACGGGGATATGGGGTGGTGGTTGCTGGGTGGCCGCCATCTTCGCAGCCCCTAACTGAGGCGGCTTGATAGGTGCTCCCGGCGGCTTGGACTGGATGGGGATGGGCGGCTTGGGGG